AAGCAGTTGTATTCTAAACCATTTTCCTCTTTCCTCAGAAAGTGTCTCTCCTAACGTACTCTAGCTTTCAGTACTTTGTTTCTCCTCCACTGCCAAACTTTCCCCCCCAGATTTTTGGCATAGTTCCCCTGTTGCTATTTCCCTCTGGGATATTTCAATCTGTGATTATTCCTGGCCCCAAATAATCTGTGCTCCATATCCTTGACTCTCCTTTTTACCTGTCAACATTTTTATTATTGTTTATGATTATGTTGGTGCCAATAGTATTTAATTGCTGTGGGTTTATGGCAAACATATGAACATACTATCACATGTCAGTTCCCAACTCACTTAACTGTATTTGACTGATTTTAATACGAATGTTTTTCACAATTTTAAAAAAGATTTATTTGAGAGAGAGAGAGACTCTGGGAGCGGGGGTGGGGGGGCAAGGGGCAGAGGGAGAGGGAGAGAAGGAGAGAGAGAATCCTTAAGCAGACTCCCTCTGAGCGTGGAGCCTGACACTACACTCCATCCCAGGACCCTGAGATTGTGACCTGAGCTGAAACCAAAAGTTGGACACTTTAACTGACTGAGCCACCCAGGTGCCCCAAATATTTTTCACATTTTAATGTTTGTGAAATCAGGATGTAATAATATTAAAATCACAGTAATTTATTATTTTTTCCAAAAAAGTGTTTTTAAATTAATAGTCTTACAATTGATGGAGTCTTAAAACATCATATGTGTTCTGAAGTAGAGTAAGATGTTGAACTTCCTGGAATTCATGGAATTAACCAACTTAAAAAGTTGGTCCAAAATGTGTTGTACTTGACGGATAGCCTTTGAAATACTTCACCTGGGGTTTAATCCATTCCCTGATTTCAGCATAGATGAACTCTATTTTTCTTTCTTTTCATTTCTTTGGGTTTTGTTGTGTGTGGTACCTTAAGTGCGTCATTTTAACCATCTTTCCAGAAATGTTTATCACTGGGTCTTGAAAGAGGAGTCTACAAATTTCTCAATAATTTTGTAACCCATTTAAAACCTTGTAACAACTCTTTCTGCCTAAATTTGCTAGAATGAATTCTTTTCCCCAAAAGTGAGTCCTAAAAGATATAGGCTACTGGGGTATATTTGACAGATAGTAGGTAAAAAGCCTATCCATGCATGCAACTGTTATAATGAAAACTGAAGGAAGGAAAGCAAATCAACTTGGAGCATTAGAATTTCTATGTGGACCTGCACATTCAACCCATATATAATTTCAAAAGGTGTTTTGGTGTGTGCTCATCTTTAACAGAAGGACTCAGGGAAACATGACAAAATGAACCAAAACTCTAACAACCTCACCTTCAGAAATTTAAGTAACAACAGGCCAGGGAAATAACTTCATTCTATCTTTATAGCAACTTTTCTGCAGCCTTCTCCTGATTAAGATAAATTAAACATACACTCAAGCTTGGTTTTTCTATAAATTCAATAATTATTTTTCCAAAGTGGAAAACCTATACATTATTTAAAAAACCTGTTTTATATATTAGAAATAACACAGAACTAAACATTTTTCAAGCAAAGTTAGGGCAGTCAGAATTAAGCTTAGAAATACACTTTCTTTGTCATAAAGGAGTAAAAAATTAGAAGCCATTCTTCTAAATTTTGTTGTTAGAAAGAAACACTAATTTGACTATTGAAACAAAACCATCTTGGAACACTGAAAAAAAAAAAAAAGTGTCAATGTGAGTATCCTGAAACCCTGAAGAGAATCTGGACCAACGACAAACATTTGACCAGATGCCAATAAAGCAAATTGTTTTCTTAAGACAGGAAGCTGGACGTTTTCTTTTCTTGCTGCACTTAAATTTTCCATGAACTATACTGTGTCATTCAATCACAAACAAACCCAAATAATACACATGATTTTAAATCCACACATAGGAGACTCGGGCATCAGAAGTAAAGCCCTCACAGAGATGAAGCTGGGGTAAACTGTTACTAGTGACACCTGACCTGCTCTTTTCTATGACTCAGGTTTTTACTGGTACTGTTATAAAAAGGGCACAAACTTCAAATAAAGATGATCATTGCCTTTTCAACGGTAATAATTAGCTATCTAAAGATAGAAAAAAAATAATTGGTTTGTAATAGATTAAAGATGTAATGCTCTAAAATCTTTTTAAATTCTTAACTTCCTGCTCCTTGAGCGACCACAGTGCCATGGAAACAGATCTCACTCCAGATTTATCCCCTCAGAGGAGGATCACCTAACCACTAACTCTCACCAACAAATTTCTCATTTCCTGGGTCCTAAAGCCTGATCCTTTTTTTGCCTTCTTGGGTTTTATTCCATCATCCTGGTACTTCTGATTTTCCAGACACACGGGGTGGTAGGCATCGTGGATTGCACTGGAAGTCCACTGACTGGGTGGAAGGATAGGATTGTGATGCTGGTTAGGAACGCAGAACAGGGCTTGAGATGCATTTTGCCCTTTGCAGCATAACTTGTCAGTTTAAGGCTGATTTTTTAAACATTATTATGAAATACTTAGGCATAAAAAAGTGTAGACTGGATTACAATCAACACCTGTATTCACATCACCCAGTTTAAGATAGGACATTTCAACTTTTCTCCCCTGAGGAAATTCTCCCTGGTATTTGATGCTTTTCATTTCCCTCCATGTAGTCTTCTACTACATGTGTTCCCATAAACAACATATATTATTTTGCATGCCTTAAACTTTAAATAAATATATTCTTCTGAAATGTTCTTTTTGAAATTCCCATTTTCCATGTAGCTTTAATTACTTTTTTACTGCCATAAGTATTGCATTGTATGGGTATCCATAGAAATCCATTCTCTGACTGATGGATAGATCGTTTCTAGTTTCTTACTATTTAAATACTAATGCTATGATTTTCTTAATCATGACCTCCTTGAAAACAACTTGCTCTGAGACATACACCGAGGAGAACTCTGAAGACTATACGGGTCTTCAACATTACTAGATATGCTAGTTGCTTTCCGAAGTAGCTGTACCAATTTATGCTCCACTGCTCCACATCCTTTGGGATTATAAACTCTGTAAGTAGGGTTTTAGCTGTTGGAATCTTCTGCGGCCTGGGTAAGGCTATATTCCTCCAACTATTGGAACTGCTAGTCATCCCAAGGATATTTTTAGCATGGATCCATATTTTCATGTTAATTTTTAGGTTTCAAGCTTCTGTACCACAAAGGTGGTGTGAATTCAAACACAGAAGCTATGGTCAGGTAAGCTCAAAGAATTCTCAGAGGAGCTGCTGCTTTTCTTTTCAAAGCCAAAGCACAGAGCAAGTCAAGAGACGCTCCTTGTGATTTCTCTGGTCAGCAGGAGGAATTTTTTTCTAATTTGCCCTTACACTGAAGGTGTTGGTCTTTAGTGATCTGGGCATTATGTATGAGGCTTGGTTATGACTTCTTTTTTTTTTTTTTTTAAAGATTTTATTTATTTATTAGAGAGA